CACCCGACAGTGCACAACAGCGCACCACAAAGCAGCTCAGCACAGCACAGCACAGCACAGCACAGCGCTTGACAGCCTAGCACAGCGCCTCACACGCGCAGACCCGGTGCTTTGTTGTCAGCGCGGTGCGCCCGATATGGGGACCGGCGACGATCTGTTGGAAGCAACAGTGCTGTCAGTCGCGTTGGCGGCTTTGCACCAGATCCAAGCGGAGGATGGTCGCCGGCGCACAGCACGCTCGGTATCCTATTGGGATGCTGTGCCGTTCGCGCGCTTGATCACGGAGCACGCGTACCAGATGGCCGCGTTCTGAAGGATGTGCACGTTTTTGGCTGTCGCCTTGTCGCAACCGAGTATCGACCCCGAGTATCGACCGCAGCAGCGCANACAGTTTTTCAACTGGAATTTTTCAAACCGTAAGAAACCGCCTAAGGCATGCCAAACACAAGAGTACGCCCCCCCCCCCCTTCCCTCGGAGGAAGGAAATAGAAAAAAAAGTAATCAGGGTGGATCGTGTTAAATTTAAGGCTATCCCCGGGGGGACTGTTGTGCCAAGAATTAAACGGTGGTGCACACGACGTTCGCGCTCTACGGCCGATCTGTAGGTGTAATTTTCCCCACAATATTCATTTGAGTGCTTCGAGTTGCAAACACGATCGGCTCTGACAACAGAGACACACATCTCCGCCCAGAGGGAGTACATAAATTCCCGACGGGGTCTTTCTCTTTTCGACAATCGATCTACCGGGGGGGGGGTATCACCGAGCTCATGCTCCAGGCCGATAATATATTTTGAGGCAAGGGAGGGAGCGTTTGGGGGGTGTACTCATAGTCGTGCATGCCGTAGCCGTTAGGCCATTGACCTCGCAGCCCTACAAAGCCGGGACGGAGCACGCCGGGTTTCACCGGACCAGGCTCTTACATCACCAAGCGCGAAGCGCCGTGAGATATTCGGCGAGTCGCATGAAGGGTGCGCTATATCCTGCCAAGGGTGTTCGGCATCTTGTTCTTACTTCCTTGCGTACGGATGACAGCTGCGTATGACTTAATTTATTTTCTGGTGCTTTCACTTCCGGAGACAGTTGTAATCACTGTGTAACTGCCTCGAAGGTGCTTGACCATTGTAACACATCGTGGTGCGATCATCCCCCTTGCGCGGAGTGAGGGTTCTCGACCCCGCACAACGTGATATACTCGACCACCATGATGGTTACCGCCAAAAAACAACAGAGGTAAAAAAAAAACGAAACCTGGTTGCCGAGTTCACGAAGTGAATTGGCTTGTTTTACAACGTCGTTGCCAAGCGACGAAAACCCAACCCCGATGGCAAACACCGAGGGGGGGGGGCGTTTCGGGGGAAGAAAGTCCGGACATGACGTAGTACCGAATTTATTGTGTGCGTAATTTCCTCGTCGAGCTGATCCTCTTCAATCACCTGGCTGGCGTGCGTGTTATGTGCTGTTTTTTATTTCACCGGTCAACTGTATGCAGTGCACATCCTTCTTAGTTTGGTCCTGTCCCAAGTGCTTTGCACTCGCGCCTTGCGTCCGTCGTTTCCTGACCCAATCGATGCACAGCGGGCTTGCACGGAGGTTGATGTTCATGTCTAGGGTTGGGCTAACGGCCTTTGTCCTCGCCCTGTTGGGCAGCTCCACACACGGCATCACCACCACCGACGTCGGTGAAGGTTCGTGGAGGTCTGAACGTCTAGACAGGAGCACTACAAGTATTTATTTGTCGAAACTTGCTCACCCGTTGGAACCAACCATCCATGCCCTCAGCGGGGATGGTACCGTGGAAGTCAAACGCAATTTACCTATAGAGACAGGCCGAAAATGAGCCCCATCGGATATTTTCAAACGCACTGAAGCCAGCAGCTATTGTGCCCAAGTCCTAAAGCGGACCTCGTGGCTCCAGCGCCGGCACGCACTTGGAAGTAGATCACATTTGGATGAAAATGACGCTTGAGATTCACTCCTCTTTTCCCATATTTTTATGCCTGAAGCGAGCGAGAAATCATGCGTTGCGTTTTCTCCGAATCCAGATGACTTCGTGTTGACCATCACGACATGCGACTTCAATGGCTCGTCCGTCACCGGCTCGGTGGACACCATCAACTTCTACACGTGCTCTGGTGGGCCGTATTGCGCTATGGCGGACAGCCCAGAGACGGAAGCGGTGTTTGGGGATGGCGAAATTAGAGACCTGGTCTTCCTCGATGACGTGGAACCCACGACTCTGGTTATTTCGAAACCGGTTGGGGACGACGGCTGGTGCGTTTGTTTGAGTCCGCTTGGAAAATGTGACTGCCCTACTTGAATTGAAATTTCAGTCCGAATCCCAAGCTGCCTGGAAATAAAACAGCTGAATCATTCATTTACATCGTAGGCACCTCTCTCCTCCAAAACAACAATCGTCCTTGTTGAGATTAAATGTTCACAAGCAGCGCACCTATCAACATGAATGGGCCAATGTTGTCCTTGAGTTCCCATAGTTAATGGAAACTACTGTAGGGTCTCACGGTGCATCTCCCGTCAGACGAACCCTCACCTTTCAGAAGCCCTTGCAAAATGGCCTGTATGCTGGGGCTTCTGAACGGGAACACCGATTGTACAGCATGGATGACGGNATAAAACAGCTGAATCATTCATTTACATCGTAGGCACCTCTCTCCTCCAAAACAACAATCGTCCTTGTTGAGATTAAATGTTCACAAGCAGCGCACCTATCAACATGAATGGGCCAATGTTGTCCTTGAGTTCCCATAGTTAATGGAAACTACTGTAGGGTCTCACGGTGCATCTCCCGTCAGACGAACCCTCACCTTTCAGAAGCCCTTGCAAAATGGCCTGTATGCTGGGGCTTCTGAACGGGAACACCGATTGTACAGCATGGATGACGGAGGTTCAACAACAAATATGCTCTTATTTAAATGGTTTTCATCTTGTTCTCTAGAAGGAAGAGATGGAGATCGAGTGATGCGCGAGAGCTTTTCATGCGCCCTCTCGACGTTGTCGATATAGCCAGCTGGATGATCCACAAATACAGGTGCGTTGTCGTTGTTGTTTGCGTGTACAGGTGCGTGAACGGGATCCAATGGCAGGGAGTCGACATGTTGGCGCCCACTACAGTACTTATCTTCGACATTTCGGACGGAAACACGGGCAATTGCGTTGGGGGCCTCCTGGACTACACTGACGAGGACAATGAATACCTCGAGGAAAACCTTGTCTACCCGTGCCTGGAAGAGTGGCGAATCTTCAATCTTCAAGGGGACGGTGAGTCCAAGCAGGGTTGGGATGATGTGGACAAAAATCAGCACGGGGTCGAATTTATAGATTGGCTTCCAGCGGGACTGGAAGCGCAACCTCAGCTCGTGGCGCTTCCCCCCAAATGTTGTCCTGGGTGCATCGATAGCGAGTTTCTCCTGTTTCTCACTTCTTCAGAATGTTGGCTCTGGTGGCTTTGCCGGATAAACTCGATGGGTCGTGCACGGGGTTGGGTTGAGGCCCACAGAAAGGATAGGTTGAATCATCCTTACAGCGACGGCGTCTCACAAAAGACTCAATTGTAAACCCTCTTCCCGCATCGCTTGCCGCTCCCCACCTTGCAGCTGACTACGAGTATGAGCTGAAGGTGCAGGGTTGCGATGGTGTGGATACCACACCGGTTACAGTCTCCTTCTGCCCGGACACGTCATGCAGCACGGCAGATGTAGTGACGCAGACGTTGACGGCTTTCGGCAGTGGGATGACAACCTTTCCGGTGCAGCTGGACTTCAACCCCGCAGCGATGCAGTTATTGGCTTCTGGCAGTGACGTGTGGTGAGCTCCTTGAACAATCGCAACTCGTTTTGAAAAAAGCAAACACGGCTGGTGATCTTTGTTGCGGTGGTTCCATGAAGTACTGTAGTTCGTGTCCAGATCTGAGGCTGCAAAATGTTGTGGAGATTTTCACATCATAGCTTTGCCTTCAAATCTCCACTACTAGGGCTGCGCATCTTCGTGACTCCTCGGCGATCTGTATGTATACCTCGAATAGGCCCAACCAGCGTGAATGGGTCGCTGCCTCCAACGCCAACTCTGAAGAATTTTGACAGTTCATTTCTGCTCGGTAGGTGCGCCGACGCCCTATTGTTCAATCAATTCGACTTGGCAGAAAACTACCCTTACTCTCTGGAGCCAGAGGAGTCAAGCACGGTAACAAATCTCCAGGTCAATGGTGAGACGCGGCGGCTTTCGATTGTTTTTTGCTCATTTCTTGACTTATCCTATCGATGTCGGGGAAACGAGCTTTCGTTCTTTCTGCAGGCGACGCATGATGGTGTTTTGACGTTTGCCTCAGTCTGACGTGCAGACCTTGACAGACACTGAGGCCAATACACAGCCTGGTTTTGCAAGCTGGTGTATGTGTGTGAGGTGTTGGAGACCAAAATATGTTTTGCTGGTGACTCTGGGCCAATATTCTTAATGAGATGGCGGTAGACGATGGGAGTGAGATACAGGGGTGCTTCGCTTGCTTCTGCTCTGAAGCTTTTCAACAATAAACAACCTCAGAGAACCAAAGCAAAATGTCAGAGCAAACCCCCGATATGCGGTGAGTGGTGTAACTTACAGTATTGAGTTTCTCCGAACCTACCCAGCGGGTACTTCGCGCCAACTTTGTAGAAGAAATACCGCTGTCTGCTGCTGTATGCGTGAGACCTCATTCCAAAGTATGCTGTGTTTCCGACAGCGCATAACAAAGGATACTTGTGCTACTGCTGCTACTTGCGCAATCTACTCTTGGTATTACTGTACACCCCCGCCATCCCAGTCCTATTCCGAGCCTCAGACTCTGTATGCCCAATGACCCGTTGTTTCGCCCCTCAAATGCTCAAATCCTCAAGGTGCGTGACTGTCGTCATATCGCCCCAATGGGAAGCTCAGCAGGCGCCCTCTCTATGTATGGGGTGTTTGCTTCGGGTGGCCTTGAAATCTACAGCCTCTGGGGACCTGTAGTAGCGAAAGCGATCGAGAGATTTTTTCCGAGGCCCCCTCTCCCTCCTTTCGCCTTCTGTTATATACACATGTTGTCTTTTCTGCACTCTACCCACCGGTCACCAAGGCGGTGGTGTCAGGGTGGCTTCATTACTATGAGGGAATTTCAACATCCTGCGCTACGCATTTACCTCTGTTTCGCCAGGTATTGCTCCAACTCCAGCTCCAAGTCCAGCTCCAACTCCAACTCCAGCGCCTGCAACGCCTTCAGGTACGTCGCGCACAGCGTGCTTCTGGTGCTCCAACTCAACCATACCTCGTCTTGTTGCTCTACCACACCTACCTGGCCTCGTTCTATGGTTTGCGTACACTCGGGAGGCAACAGATTCGTGTGGTTTTTCACTGTAGGATCGGTGCGAAGAGTTGCATTCGCGTGGCGCTTGGGGCCTTGGCCACTTGATCGGTCTTGTTGGGATGAATGATGGAGGACAAAGTAGAACAGTGATGGCGTGTCCATGGGCATAGACGCGCCCACATCTGTTTCCCCCCCCCCACATGGACGCGGCGTAGTGCGCCTCAAAATTGTACGCCAGGTGTCCTGAGTACATACACTGTGTGTTGTCGCCGCCGTACGAATACTAACTCATACGACTCATCGCTGTCGTCGTCGTCTTCATCGTGCATATTGTGTACGTTTGTGGTTTGCAGCCTCAGCTACGGACTCTCCGGGCGTTATTCTCGCTCCCGGCGTTACGCTCGCTCCCAGCGGAGCCGGAACCGTCGGTGAGTCACGTGTGCATAATGTAGGTTGCTTGGATCAACTTGCCCAAAATTGTTGATTTTTCTGAAGAACCGTAGACTAAGCAGTTATCTCGACTACGATCACGAATGACCGTCGTTGTTTAATGTTTCAACTGTTCATATATCTATATCGTTCGCACAAACTTGCACACAATGTTCTCCATGGACCATGGAAGTGTACGTCCCAAGATCGGGTGGCCACCCTTTGCTCCCCCCGCTGGCCGTCGCGCCGTCGGCAGCGCTACTTCCAGGCAGGGCACCGGGCCCGAAACACTACCTTGCCCGGCAATAAGGGAGCGTAGATGGGCCCACATCTGGTCCCCCCACAACACATTGACACATAGATGCGACTTGGCGCACCTCAAAATTGTACGCCAGGTGTCCTGAGTAAACTGCGTGTTGTCACCGCCGTACGAATCTAACTCACACGGCTCATCGCTGTCGTCGTCGTCTTCATCGTGCATATTGTGGTTTGCAGCCTCAGCTACGGACTCTCCGAGCGTTATTCTCACTCCCGGCGTTACGCTCGCTCCCAGCGGAGCCGGAAACGTCGGTGAGTCACGTGTGCTTAGAATAGGGGTTGCTTTTGAAAAGCACGACAACCACTACACAACCAGTCAGCGATGAGTAGTGGTCTAGTGGTCATCGTGCTTTTGTAAGCTAGTGTCCGGGGTTCCAATCTCTCCTAGTGAAATTCAATTTGTTGCGCCTGATATATGGAAATTGAAAGTCTGAAGAGCTGGGCTTCACAAAATACACTATGACCTGTATGGATCTGGCAAGCACAGCGCTGATCACAGGCATGGCTGTGGACATGTGAGTGGCTCGAAAACTTGACGGACTCAGGCACTAACTTTTGTTGAGAAGCACGATGACCACTAGCGCTGACTAGTGGTCTAGTGGTCATCGTACCTGTCACCATTTGCTATCCACAAGATTCCGGCTTTTGGCGTGGGCATTCAAATAACCACACCTCTCGCTGGTCTCCACCACTGATATAGTGTTCGACGACGAGGTGAAACAGAGGGGTCCTGTTTGTGGTATTCCCTCGTATGTTTTGGTCCGAAAACCCCATATACTAGTGATTGTGGCGCACCCACACCAATTCCCCTACCACCACCCGGGCTCGACTCGCGTTCGACGTGTGCTTCGAATACCTCTCCTCCCACCGCAGGGTCGAACTCCACAGAAACTTTGGGTGATAATGGCGACGACAACGACCCAGATTCAGAAGGTACGGACCTTTTGCTAAGAAAGCATAAATAGTGTCGACACAGGGAGTCTTCGAACCCTACTTCGCCGACAACCAAGTCGCTGCTGCGTAGCCGCATTAACCTCCGAGCGTCTCTACAAGGCCATGTCCCAATTGCGGGCATATTGCACGGGCGTATGGCTCTTCGCAGGGAGGGACGAGGCTGGTCGGTCACCATGTCAATTGCTGCCGTCGCCGTTGAGGTAAACGACGCGGGGCATTTCGTGCTAGGGGTTTCCTCCTCCGTCCTCTTCTACAGGGTCGAGCATGCGGTAGGGCCTCAAAATCTACCAGCGTTCGGCAGCAGAAACAAAAGAAGGCGGTGGAGGAGCTCTCTCTTGTAGTATGGCGCAGCCGCCGAGAGGGATACACTTCCCTAACAGTTGATAGACGATGAAACGTATTGTTGCAAATGACGCAGGGTAAAAAGAGAATCTCGAGCACACCATCTGCTTCACGCGAACCGCAACCACAGCTCTTTTTTCAAGATGGAATGGTTCTGACAATCCTATTGCTCTATGGCAACGCCTTTGCTTCGTACGCAGTTTTGCCAAACCACCTGCTAAACTTCACATTCCGAAAGGAGACCGGAGGACTGGGGGGGCGATAGACCCCCGCGTGCGTAGCCCTCGCGTTTTTTTTTCACGATATGCGTTCAATTACGGAATGACTGATGAACACTTTTTATTTGTTGGTCTCGCGGAGAAGGTCACGTTCTTCCATGCATTAGTATGCTTGTTCCGCTTAAATTCTTGATAATGTCGGTAGTCCCTTTTTTTTTTTTCATCTTTCATCTCAGGACTACCCATGTGTGCGTGAATGGATGCAGTGCAACCAAGCCGCCGTTGAGAGCATGTACTCTGTCTACCGATACTGCTCCGCATCTGGAACTTGATGCGACATGTAAAAAGCTCCAGACAAGCAACGCCGAGTACAGGTACTCTTCGCGTGAATTATCACAGTGTGCACCCATCAGCATCCAGCTCGTTTACGGAAATTTGTCGCACCTGTTTCGCATCCCTGGCCGAACAAGCAGCTCAGCTGTGGGCCATCGTTGGAGGTACGGTGGCGGGTGTACTGGCGATTGTCGCCGTCATCGCAGCTGTCCTGTTCAAAACTGGCCGCTTGAAGACCGGCGCTGGGAGACGTTCGACTTCTGCCGACAACGCCGTATGGACTCTTCCTGGTGCCTCTAGGCCCACAGACAACGGGCGTCCCGCGGCTGCTGCTGTGGCCCCTGTTACTCATGTTCAATATCCCGTTGCCTATCAATATCCCGAAGCCCCATGAATCCGTGTCATTCTTTTTTTCAGCGATGTGAGAGATGTACCTTCCTCATGATACGTTGACAACGCATACCATGGCCTGTTGCCGTGGGCTTCGTCGGTTGAGCGTCACTAGAATGAAGGCAGTGAAAAAAAATTGAATGCACCAAGGGTGTGCGAAAAAACAATTCTTGCACACCTAGGTACTCGCTTCTTCGGGAGGATTCGGGGCACGGGGGAGGGTACGCCATATTATGTCCTAGATAAAACCACGCCATACTAATTCCTACATCTATGGAGGGGCACTGTGTCTGTATAGGGAGGGGTATTGTGCATCTGGGTGCCCCTAGCCGTGTGCTCGTCCGTGCTTTCCGTGCCTGTACGCTGTTTGGCGTACGACATCACCTAGGCGACTAGAGGGAGAGCATGATCAGCGCACCCTCAGGGGGTGTCATTGCCCTAGCCCAGGCTGCTGCGGCGCAAGACTACAGCCAAGAGTGTTCTCGGCGCGCAGTAGAAGAAGTAAACTCGGGGTCAAGCGAAGAAAGGGAGGAGGCTGTGTGAGGAAGATGAGGGAGGAAGGGGGGTAGGCGTCGGGGTAAGGGGGAGAAGACGAGGAGGACGGGGAGAGGAGGAGAGGAAGAAGGAGAAGGAAGAAGAGGAGCCGGACGTACACTCGACGGGGCCTAAACTCACCCCGAAACGGCGTTCGTGGTTGGTTGGAGTAGTTTGTTGTGCTTTCGAGAATGTGGGAAAGTGGTAGTCGAAGCGGAACACCCCTAGCTAGCTATACTTGTGCGAGTTCCTACATGACAATAGACTACATACGTACCGGGGTTTTCGTCGAGCTTGTCGAGGCGTGATGCTGCTCCACGCTTTGAGAGAGTCATTGAAGTTGAATCGACGACGATCGATGTTGTTGTTGTGTGGATGATGAATGTGGCTTCTCGAAGAACAACTCGATGACAACGCAAGCTTGTAAGGCGCGCTTTAGTATCACACCGCTGATTTGTCGTTTTGTTGTGGTCGTTGTTGTCTTCACATTAAAAACTATTTCGGTTTACGACAGGTTAAAGAGGTTAGAGTCGCACTTTTGAACATATACAAAAATAACAATGAAACATTGGGGGGGGTTACCTAGGTGTGCGGAATGACTTTTGCCGCACACCCTTGAATGAACCCAAGTACAGGTGTGCATCAAGTGTTTACGTACCATTTCGTAACAAGTACAAAGTACACCGATAGACAACAGTTCCGCCCAAGGAAAATCGCTGTCATCAATAGTCCCGATTGAAGAGGTCCGAGGTGCCAATGCAGGTGCGAACAGGTGGTTTGGAGCTGTTCCGCCGGCGCGGGTAGCTCGCCCGGCGCACCAGCTGGTCGGAGAGTCCACGGCGTAGCTCCGCCGTGTCCATCGGGAGATAGTCATCCGAGGATCGCTCTCCAAGGGGGGGGCAGTGGAGTGCGGCCACCATGAGGCACCGCCGGCGCTGGGCTGGACGCCGGCGTCGGCGGTGGCGGTGGTAAAGCCATTGGTGCGGGTGTCAGAGAGGGCGGCGTCGGCTCGGGCGGCTTCAACGAGGGCGGCAGCGGAGGCACCGCCAGTGCTGGTGTGGTCACCGGCTTCGGCGGTGGCGTGGTGAAATCGTTGGTATGGGTGCCGGCGAGGGCGTCGCTGGCGGCAACGGAGGCGGCGGTAGCGGCGGCCGCGGCGAGGCCCGGGTGGTCCCGCCACGTCGCGTGCGGTCGGCAGTCGGCGTAGCGTCCGACGGTTTCTCCGGTGGCGTTGCGGCCGGGGGCTCGATCGGTGGACGTGCGGCCCGGCGAGCCATTCCTCACGTGACCCTGGGGATGACCCCCAAAGCGTGGCTCTGCAATGCAATAGGGAACCTCTGCATTAGGTGACCGCTTCCCAGAAAATTGCACTCGTATCCTATTTGTGTGGGGTTCCCCTGGCAATTTCAGGCTGACGTGCCGTAACGCGGAGGTTCCCCAATGCAGTGGCATTTGAATACTATATCAGAGGTTTTTCAACGTTGGTTGCGGTGAGATTCCCTAATGTAGAGGTTCCCCTTGCACTTTTCTGGGAAACGGTTCCCTTATGCAGAGGTTCCCTTATGCATTGCAGCTGCTCCTCAGCCCCGATGTTTTCAACGTGTAACCCACCCTCCCACGGTTACCCCCGGAATTCGATTCTCAGTACGTGTACTATGAAACAGACATAAGGTTGAGCACTATTCAATCGGGTTAGTAACGTCTTGCCTGAGCAGACATAGTCAACCTACGTCTGCGGAGCCGATATCCACAGGCAATCAGCGGTGTCACATTCTCTAGCAAGCAGCTGCTTCAACATCCAAAAGCATCACATCTCGTCGGTATCACATTCATGGCATCCTTAGCAACCTCCATAATCAGCGTATCAGGCTCAGCGCTCACAGCAGTGGGTGGCATTAGGGGTATGGCTCAAGATCTTTGCTTCTCAGGGCGTCATTGAGTAAACGCTGAGGGTTTTTGTCGGGGACAAGTGCCAGAGGAAGTCCTAGAGGCGTTTGCCCCCGAGGGCCAGACAACATGCATCCTGGCCCCTCCAGCAGGCTGGATCGGGAAGACAAATTGGTCTGTCTGATTCCCGACCATGTCAGTCAGCCTGCGCCCTCCAGATACTCGCGACCATGCGATATATCCATCGTCGTATTTCGAGGACCGGTGGGGACGACTGGCCGTAACAGTGGTACTGTAGAGGAAGCGGCAAGGGCAAGTTTTCAAGGCAGGTGGTTGGTTCAATGGACGTGTTTGTCAACACTTGAGTGAAACCTGGTCAAAGACCTGTTCCAAAAGAATTGGGTTACATCAAGTAGGGGGGCCGATATAAGGCGGTTTTGTGCGTGGTCAATATTACCGCCTTATATCGGGCAGCCACCTTACTCATGAATGAGGCTGTAAACCGCCTTACTCTTCAGGGCAATTTACGCGCGTATGTCTCCCGGATGTGTGTCCGGTGTATTTCATGCGTGTCCTCCTGTAGAAAAAAATAGAGCATGTGGCGTTTCGTTTCAGTATCTTTCAGACTTGTTCGCTATCCCGAAGCGCTGAAGAACATGCTGGTGGACGTGATCATATTTATATATGAAGTCAACAATTGTTTAACCTCTGTTGCGATGACAGTGTGTTAAGACGACGCGACGAGTTTGTTTTGCTTGTCAGGCTAATGGTTCGGATTTGGAATACAAAGCAAAATTACTCTGTAAGTAAATCGCTCGGCCTATTATGTTTAATGCTCCACCGCGCGGGTGTCGGCTCTGTTGTGCGTTGGGTGCGATGTACCACGTTTTGAATCGAAAGTCGGACTTCCCTTGCCTTGGCGACTGGATTACTGTGTAGATGCTGTAAATCTTCTTTTTTTTCACAGGTAGGCCGTACGATTTCTTCTATGTTCCACTGTACGATGAGATGTGACTGATGTTCGTCGCCGGTGCTGCTTGTTTGTGTAGTCTACTCCGTCGATGGAGGAGATGATGCTACCACCGGAATTGATGCGACGTTAAAACCAATATAACGACACACAAAAACACGAAGGTCACTCTCAGTCCCGTACTCCCTTTGTGAATTGTCCTTACTGTTGTGCCTATGTGCAAGCGCAGCGGAGCTTAAGCTCGGGAACTGCCCAAGTCATCATGGCCAAGGATATCCGAAGGCGTTGCTCGCGGTCTCGTCAGATCAGACCTGGATTTGTTTCTAGACACATGAGAAAAGTGCCCGCCACTAGGACGTCCGCAAATCCCTCGAAAGCGAAGTATTTTTTGCGGCGGTAGTGTTATATACGACACCGGTGTCGTACTTCCTTATATACGACACCT